TATTTTTAATTTTTAATATTAACTGAAAAAGTACCCTAGAGATCATAAATCAACTCTGTCAATTTACCGACTAGGAAACAGAGATTCCTAAGCCCTCTACCAATTTATTTAAATGTATGGTATAAAATAAGGCTGTTGCTTCTAGGAGAGTGGAGAAATAAATGCTAATCAAAGAGAAAAGAACAGATGTTTATATACAGTCTCTGTTTTCTCACTAGCCATAAAGCTATTTTATTTTGTTGTAGATTAGCTTATTCAAAGCTATTGGTTAGATAGTAGTGGCCTTCTTATCTTGTATCATTAATAAAGAAGAGGTGCAAAAATACTATAAATATCACTCTAATAGAATTTTCCCATCCTGCTGGTATCTTTTAACCTTAGAAAATTATGGGTATGTTTGTTTTAATATACTTATAAACTGCTCCTGTTTTTAAGAACTATTAAGAACATTATTGCCATAATTAAATTAATTTAGGTGAAGGAACATTTATTGAGTACCTATTTTGTGCTAGATTCTGTATTAAGCAATGAGGATAAAAAGATGGGTAAAACATGCATCATTTCCTTAAAGATCTAAGGCCAGCGAGTGAGAAAGATAATATTATGATAAAGTTATAATTAATATTATGATAATTAGTATGAATAGAGGTGTAACTAAGATGTTATGTGAGGCCAGGAAATAAGTGCCTAAGTCAGTTTGGTAGATGGCTTCCAGGAAGAGAATGAGCAGGAAGAGGGGGACTATTAGAACTTTTTTTGGTGCAACTTTTCACATTCCTAATTATATGGGGCTCCATGTAAGTAACTTTTCGTCTCTGCTGAAGTCAATTCACCAATGCCTGAATTATATATTTATTTTCTCTAGGAAATGACCAAATGGACTGTTGATTGACAGAGATACATCCCCCATGTATTTCTTTTTTTTCCCACTGGTATTCTAAGGACTGGTGGAATTTCCAATCTCTGCCATAGGATCTTTCTACAAAGAGCACATAAAAAAAGTGTCTTTTAATAATGAATAACCAAGAATAATAATGAAACAGTAAACTTTTTAATTAAGCATTTCAGCAATTCTTTAAAAAATCTATGTTGTAAGGGACAGTTATAGTGTCTTCTGCATATATTGTAAAATATGAAGTAGGCTTTTTATTGCTTTAAATAAATTTTCAATTAATGAAGACTAGAATGTGATGCTCTGAAGAGTCTGAGGACTGTGCTTTTTATTTTTTCATAAGTTTCAAGCAGTCAGAAACCAATTGCTTTTAAAGAAGACTCAGTAAAATATGTTATTTGTGTATAAGCCACTCATCTCATTACATTTGAGTTAACATTCCCAGGAATTCAGAAAGGTTTTAAAAAGTGGTTTTGATCTTAGGTGAAAATAAAGCCAATTAAGATCAGAGCATTGCCACATCAGCTAATATAGTCTGGTTTTAATTTCCTTCATATAAAAAATTATCTCTTGTATGCCTAAAGATATATTTTATTGCAAACTCCTATAAATTAGAGAAGAAAGTGGGGAGGGTTTGTGTGTGTTTGGGGTGTGGTGGGGATGGGAAGAGGAACCACGTAGCTGCATATGGGCAATTTTTATCTATTTCTTTAACATTTGCTTCTCCTCCCCATTGTTTTTTCTTTGATTCCTAAATCATTTCTTATGTCATCCCCACCCCAACAGTAGAGATTATATATGTTAACTTCGTCTTTCTAAAATATTAATAAAATACATTTAATTATACGTGATGTAATTTTTTTTAATTTGCTAATTCCCCCTCATTTTGCTAGCAGTGTTTCCCTGTGATGATGCAAATTTAGGGAAACTTCATTTTAATGTCAGGCCCTAAATGTGCTCCCTACTGAGCTGATGATTTTGAGCTAATGTAGTGTTCCATTCATTGGATTCCACACACTTCCCCTATATTTATTGCATTATCTGTAGTAGTAATCACAGATATCATTACTAGGCAATTGCACAAATGCATATCTAAACTTAGGTAACTTATTCACCAAGATTATCTCTTACTAGTCTTAATTTTGTAATGAAGCTGATTATCCTCTTGTCCAATTGAATATAGATACATCTTTTGATTTAGTAAGCTAAAGGCAAGTATATTGAATTATGTAGTAGGTAATTTACTTACATATGTTTGTAATAACACAAAATGAGGGTAATTTGAGTGTAATCTCTTTTCTAGACTAGGGACTGAATTAGAGAAGGGCTGCATTAGAGAAGGTTAACTGCTTTAAAAAGTACCGCCAAACTTGTGTTAAGATCGAACACAATAGAAGTGTATTTCCTGGTCACATAACAGAATTGAGTGTGAGAAGTGGTACTTGGGCATGCAGTCACCCAGAGACCCAGGTGAGTTTCTCACATATTCAATATAAGAGTTTCAAGGTCACCCTGGAAAATTCATTTCAGGGAAGAACTTAAAGGAGCTAATGAGAAATGTCTGTGGGCTAACCTTGACATTGAAGAATATTCATATTCTATTGGCTAGATCTTAATCACATGACCACACCTAAGAAAGAAAATATGAATTATAGTCTATGCTAGGACATAAAAGAGAGCATGGGTGTTGGTGAGCTGTTAGCAATTTTTACTGTAAGGACTCAAAACAGAACTTGTTCCATAGCTCTGTTTAATGAATATTTCTCTTTACTTACCTTGTCATTACTTGGCACTTCTATCAGGTTGCTTTAGCTTTATTTTCTTTACTCTATATCAGCTGTCTAAATCCAAGTCCTGACTCTTAGACTCGTCCACATTAAACAATTAAAGAATGGGGAGTAAAGGTAATTTTTTACAAAATAATTTCTAATTATATCACGAGTGAACCAAAATTGTTAGAGTGACACATGCTGTTTTTTAATTCAAGAAAAACTGAAGCACCATCTTCAGAAATAGTTTTTATTATGAACATTATAAACACAGTTGCAAGTTAATATTCATTTGTGGAGAAAGTTTTGCTTATCGTATTGAGTAAGGATTAAATAATCTGGCAAATTTATTTTGAGTGAACATGAAAAAAGGATTTGCTCCCTCCCTGTCTGTCTTCTACCAAACACAAATAAAAAAAGATCTATTTTTGCGATGCTACAAAAGAACAATAGTGTGAAATGTAGATAAAGGAGAAAACCAGATGTTGGTTCCTTTTACATTTACCTGTTCGCTGTGTTAAACATCTACATTCAGTTGATTATTAATGTAAAGAAATCCAGCAAAATATATAATGTTATTATATGTATGCATCAGGGACATTGAGGCTAAGACCATTTTTTTAACGTACTGTGGATTGTCATTTATATTGCTTTGATTTGTAAGTATTTTATATGCTATCTACTGGTGAGTAGAGATACACACTTTCTTTTGGCTTCTTTTTTGGATATACCCTCTTTAAAAACAGGCAACAAGTGTCTAGATACTTTAGAAAGGTGCAGCTTCATATTTTTCAAAGAATCGGACATTGGTCCCCAAGGTGAAGTAGCATGTAGTTTAAAAGAAAAGTCTATTCTTTTCACATTTTTGTATTGGGACTCTATTACAATCTAACTCTGATTTTCATAGGTGTTATGGAAAGCATTTTTTTTAACAGGCAGGTTTGAAAAATGCTTACTTATATTGTAAGGTAACCTAGATGTAGTCAAACTATAAGTTGCCACTTTGATTGTGACTTTGAAAGCAATACGTATTAAATATTATTACACAGAGCTTCATGAAAAATAAAGAGAATGCCTTGAGAAAGAAAATTTCATTTCAGGAATCAATTATTTCCAATTATTTGTGACCTCTGAAGAGTTTCTGTGAAGGAACATACCTAGAGTTGAGTTTATTCAAATTTTAAAATTCTTTTCTTCTTAAAAGCATGCATTCTGATATTTTTGTGTTCATATGAATTTCGAACTCTCCAACTCCATATATTAAGGAACATTAGCATGCTAAGTACACTATATTTAAAATGTGAATAATTTTATTTTTATAGCACTGAGTATGATTTCTTATATTGTGATGAATCTTACTTTCTGCCTTTTATTTGCGTAAGTAAAAATCTTCATTTATGTATCATCGTGTACATTTTCTGTATGTAATTAACATTAATTTTTTTTGACTGTGCAGAGCTGGCTATTTGCCTCAGAATATTCCCCTGGAGATTATCAGATACCTGTCTGAGGAGAAGGATTTTCTTCCTTGGCATGCTGCCAGCAGAGCTCTTTATCCTCTAGATAAATTACTGGACCGCATGGAGAAATACAATGTCTTCAATGTAAAAATATATTTTTTCTTTTTTTCTTATTTTCAGAAGATAAACTATTTTCTCATTATCTACTTTATTCAGCTGATTCTGAGTTATAGTCATTCTTTCTAATTTGTGTTATTTTTGTCCTCATTTTCTGTGCAACACTGATGACAATTACTTGAAGAAGAAATTTTATACAAGCTACTTTTTGTTCTGGCCTAAAAGTGTCAATTAAGCTTAAATGCCTCAGAATTGAAGAGCAAATATACATAGCAAATTCTTAAAGTTCAAACTTACTTTCCAAGAGTTAAGGGCTCTATGTTCACCAAGGATTTAACTTGGGTAGAGGATCGCAAAGATCTTAACAGAATATAGACAGTTTCAGTAAAGATTTTTAGTCATTATTTTTATCCAAAAGGGCATAGTGAATTCAATTCACTTCTTTAATTAACAAGGATAAGATCAACACTGAGGCAAAAGCCCATTCATAATTAGGTCCAAAGGGACACAAGAAAGCAAACAACAGATAATCCAAATAGACATGAAGACATGACAAACATTCCAAAATGTTACCTGACCAGATTTCCTAAACTTGAAGCCTCCTGAACAAAAATTACACTGCTGACAGCACCTAATCTAATGTAATAATCATTTGGAATAAGATTGGGATTAAGTACTGCTAATGAGCTTTTAATTCCTAAATTTCTTATCACCAGCAAGGCTTTGCATATGAGAATGTATCTCTCTGCTTTTAATCAGGTTTGAACACTATTTATTTTCATTTAGTTATTTCAAGAGTCTACCCTATGTCTTACACAGTTATTCTATTTTTTTATGACATATTGACTCTGCTAATTAACCTACACATTTGGAATTATCATGGCCAGATCTAATACAAATCTGTTTATGAGACCCATCTATATTGTCCGATGGCCATCAAAGTTTCTTTTTATCTTATCCTAAGCCTATATGAAAGCACCTCTTTTATTTATTTATTTTTAATTGCGATAATCCTGGCTTCTTGACTATTTACTGTTGTTAGTTTTGTCTCAGCCCTTAAACAGACATGCAACGAAATTATGGTACGATTCCTATATGCTGGAGAAGGCTTATTACATTTCTCTTTTCTCAACATAGAGTCACTGCAGTATTAAACTTTTGTAAAGGTAAAATACATTTTGTATATATTTGCACTTTAGTATATCATGTCAGACACCTCAATTTCAGTAAAAGTTAAGAATTGCTTTTACCATAATTTCAGTGCTTTCATTCCTTTGACAAAATTTAGAACCACATTAAAGTGAGGAGAGCATATTTTACCTTGCTACTGATATTTAAATCATTATCTCGATGTATTACTGACTTTTGAAAACCATATTATTTTACTGAAGAATGTTCTGTACATGTCAGGTTCAACAATGCTAGGCTTTTGGCTGGACTTACATAATAGTTTTACATTAAATATGCTCTATGGGCATAAAATGCATAAATATGAGGTGCTCATTTTTATAAATTGTATCTACATTTGTATATTTGTATGTGTGTCATCAATATTCCTGTTTCCTTGCTTTGCTACAAAATTTGTCATCTAAAATACGTGATAGTGCAAATTACTTTATTGTTCAATAAGAAGAGTAGACTTGCACCATGCAATTGTATTTTATTCTTATTTTTTGTATTTGAATTCTAAATTGAATAAAACTATAATAGATCATTAGTATGCCCATAATTTTATTGATATTTTCAAGTAAGTACATTTAGAAAAATATTTTAATTTTATTATTTAATTTTGATTGTCAGCATGGAGAGGTTTGAAACTGACATTTTCTTTATTTCTCCTACCTTCCATTTAGGAATATATTTTAAAGCAAGTTGCGACAACATACATCAAGCTTGGATGGCCAAAAAACAATTTTAATGGATCTCTTGTTCAAGCATCCTACCAACATGAGTACTGTTTTATTTTCTTATTTGCTTCTTTCTCCTCAGAGCTGTTCGGTAACATACGCCTAGCACCATTGAGACTTTAGCAGCATGAAGCAATCATCCTTTCATTTTGCATCTTTCATTTTCCTTGTCTGAGAGGACTGCTGATGGGCAGTGTAGTTTCCACCACCTGGTACTGAGAACAAAAGCATTTCCCTGCCATGTTTTAATTTAAGATCTGCTTTTATTGGTATAGTTGAGATCTGAACCCGTGCCCCTCACTTTAGTACTGTTTCCAGAGCAAATTTTCAGTATAATTAACTTTTACTCTGCCTCATTGTCTCTTACTCGAAACAATAGGATTTCCGTATCTGAAAAGTATTTTCGTGCTAATTATTTGCTTATCTACTGTAATGTAATGTAAGGAGTTACCCTTTCTCACCAGATATTAACACTGCTTTTTCATTTTTTTCCCCCTTTTGATGATACATAAGAGAACTACGTAGAGAAGTTATAATGCTGGCATGCAGCTTTGGTAACAAGCACTGTCACCAACAGGCATCAACACTTATTTCAGATTGGATTTCCAGCAACAGGAACAGGTAAATTGAACCAAATCCTGTATTTTTGATATGATATAATACTGCTTTCAGAGCCTCAGTGGATGCATTCCATTTATCAACCAGAGAAAAACAAGACAAGAAAAAACATTGTAAAACTTGGTTTCAGGGTCACAGCATACAAAGAAACAGCATGAAAGCCACAATACACTGATCTTTGGAATGTTTTATTGAGTTTTAAAATAACTTTCTAAATCTAGGCCCTTATTCTTCACATATAAAGTGTCAATTTATTTTAAATTTTGATGGCTTTCTTCTTCCATGAGAACAAAATAAATATAGACCGAACTCTGACGTTCTTTATAAAGGTTGTGGTATTTGTTCATAAAACAACTGCAAGCATATGATATAAATAAAATATCATAGTAAATATTAATATTAAAAACTAAAAACAAAAAGGTTACAAAAAAGATCTTTATTCTTTAAGTGACTCTTGACAGAGACCTTAAACTTGTATCTTATCTTGGACTTTCACAATGCAGTATTTTAATACATATGGGGTTAAAAGTACTTAATAGAATTACTTATTGTACTAAATGTCACTTATTAATGTTAATGAAAAGAATATTAAACATAAAAAATCAAACATTAGTGATCTTCTTACTACAGTTTTTTAAACCTTCTTAGTTATCTATGTATTTCTAAGGACCATTATATTCCATTGCTTTTCGCACTTTGGGTAATTTATAATCACTCCTCTCCAATCTTTGGCCACTGTGTTAAGGGGAGTCTGATCAGAAGAGTGAGGAGCTAGGCTGCATTTTGTTCAGAACATTCTATTTTACGTGCCGCAATGGACCTGTCCCTGATATGAGTGGCTGGGATTACCCCATGGGTTACAGAGAAAGAGATTTGTTCTAAATGAACATAGAGAACCACAGAGAGTGTAACTTACCATGGAACAAATTGGTAGTGGTCTTGTTGAGAATTATTTAGGTTTAAATGTTGCATAGACTCCAAATCAAAAGGTAGCCATTCTTCTTAAAAAAATCTGTGAGGGAAATCTTTCACTGTATTACTTAGTAATTTGTCACAATCTCTCATCTCCAGCATTTCCTCATTTGCCCTTTAAGTTAAGTTAATCATTTCTGGTCTTAACACTGAGCCAAGAAGGAATTATTTTATCACTACCATCTCTCAATTTATCAATCATATACTTGAAGCAGTGATTAAATCTGTCATCAGTCTTCTCTAGAACTAAAGAATCTTCATTATTTAAACTTTTGCTAATGATAATCTTTTTTTGCTAAATCTTCTGAAAACCTAAACTTAAAATGTTATAAAAACTTATTTCCTATTTTTTACTACCTCCTTTAACTCTATCACATACATATATTTAAGCTGTGAAATCATAAGCATTTGCCCAAAATCAATACATGCAAACTTTTATTAAGATACATAATCTATACACATATGGGGAAAAAAAGGTGAAATATATCACTTAAAGATTGTTGTCTCTACTTCTCTCCCTTGTTTTTTATTTATTTCTTTGTCCTATTTTGCTACAGATTCATGCTTTTTTTTTTAGAGATGATAGTTTGTTTTAACCCTTTAATGAATTTACCCATGTTATTGTGTATTCTTACCATTTACTAGTATTGGACTTACACTATGTCATCACCATAATTTCTCTAGAGAGTCTTCAAGCCCAATATTACTTCCTACATTTTAAAATTTAGCTATTGGAAAAATGCTATGATTAAAATAATTCACGTATTTAACAAAATTTTATTGAGTGATTCTCAATGCCAGTTGGTAGCTAGAAAACAAAAAGAGGCAGAGCTCAAAATTGATAGAAGATACAGCACTATAAACAAATAGTTGTACTTTGAAGGAAGAATTAAGCTTAGGGCAGTTGTGAACACAAAGAAGGGAGGAATTACTGCCTTGGAGGAATCACATTCTGCCTCATGAAGGATGAGTAGGACTCTGTTAGATGGACAAGGCCTGAATGAAGGAAGGGGTAGATATGTATGAATATGCAAAGTGGGTTGATGGGGATTCCAGGCAGAAGGAAGGTATATGGATTGATGTTTAGTTTAATGAGTGTAGTAATTTTTTGACTTATAAATTTGAACAAAATATCACTTCCATAATTGCCTTATAAATGAATATTCATTTATAAGGTGCCAGCTCATTTTGGTTTTGATAATTCTGCCATTCATTAGTGGTAAAATACTGAAATTTGGGGCTGATACTTTCAGGTTCTTTTATTATTTCCTTCATCATTTTTATATTCACCTGCTTTGCTTTCTTTTGTAACTGGGCAAGTAAACATGCTAAGTGAAACTAACTCTGTGTTTACTAAGGTTTGTTCAACCAAGCATATGACATACCCAGCATATACAAGTGACCTCCTGCAGTGAGGATACATGATGCTCAATGGGCTACCTAGGTGTGAAGATCAGAGATTTCATCAATATTTTTTGCATGACAGCTTAATAATAAAATAATAAGGCAATCCTGTAGTTGGTTTTGAGTTTAACTTTCTTAAATTGACTCAATAAAGAGGAGGGCAAGGTTTCTTTTTAAATGTGCCTGAAGCAACAGACCAGACAGCTTTGTTTGCTTGAATTTTAACTTAACTGGAAACTTAAAAATCATCTAAAAAAACCTCCAAAGGTAATGTAGTAGTATATTTATAAAATATTTTTGGAGATGTGATATATTTATACCAATAAATCCAAAGGCCAAAGAGTCATGGATATAGCAGGGATTGTAAATTATTGGGGTGCTATGGTACTATGTAGCCTAATCTTGATACACTAGGGAGATAGGTTAAATCAGTGACATTGGGTTTAGAAAAATGGAATGGATGTGAAAGTTGATGCAGAGCAAAAAATGCAATGAAAAGCTAGTGATGGTTGCAGCAGAGTAAAATTCAAGAATTATAGTGGATGATAAATTGAATGAGTCAACATTCTGATCCCTGTTAAAATATTCAAATGTTGCAGTGTGTTGAATTGTAATGGTGATGTCATGCATAAAAACATATTGGGCTACATTCAGGTCTTGTTAGGCTGTGATTTGGAGACTAAGTTCAGCAGACACCACATTTCAGAAAAGAGACAAATCGCTAAGCATTCGGTAAAGAACAATACAAATGATGAAAAGATCTTGAAAACCACGAGCTACAAGAGGAGGTTATGAGACTTGAAAATTTCACTCTTAAAAAAAGACATACACAAGATGCTAGCCTTTTTGTATATATAAAAAGCATAATACAAGGGACAGATACTGGTTTCTTTCACTAGTTGGTACAAATAAACAAGGAATAATTGGCCTAAGCTTCACTGAGTAAAATATAAGGAATGTATCATTACTGCAGGTGAATTATTATTTGAAAATCTCTGTATTAAAACACTGTTGAGACTGTACAGTTAACTATACAGAGATCACAATATGCTAATATGAGGTTTTCTTTTAATAAAAAAAAATTAATCTGAAATTAAATGTTTGTCCACAATAACACACTTTTAATTTTGTGACAATGTATTATTTTTCAAATAATGTTAAAGTATCCAATTTAAAGCTAGAAGCTGAAACCAAGTAAAGATTTAAAGTATTTAACTAAAAAATTTATTCAATAGATAGTGATATCCATTTCCTAACATATAAATTAATAACTAGTATCTTCACTGCACTTAAAAAATATCCCGAAACAACAGAGTACCTTGTGTATTGTGGGAAATCAAAAATGTTTACTGAGTTGAAATGAATTAGAAATTCACTTTGAAACTAGAAAAATTAAGTCCATTTTACAGTAAAAATTATAAGTAGAGGAGATTCTCTGGAGCTTTGCAGCATACATAATACATAAGCTTCGCTAATACAGTTAATTATAATGTTATTAATATTGTCTTTAAAAATGATAATCATAATGAAAACTAAATATAGTTTGTTGAGTATTTATTACATTTCAGACTTTGAACTAAAGTGCTTTTTGTACATGATCTCATCATTTTTATTTTCAATTTTACAGAAGATAAATCCAAAATTCTTAAACATTATGTAACTTGCCAAGCTTATATAATAGGTGTTAGATTAGACTTTTATTCTCAGTCTCCCTGCTTTCTAATCCTACTGCAGGTGATTCTGTGGTGGCATGTCAAATTACCACATATTAGTAATATATGTTCAAAAATGATTAAAAAAATTTTTTAAGAAAGATACTCAAGAAATCTCAAGTACTCTCTGCAGTGAGTATAAGTAATAGTTTTATGTAGATTGTGCTACATAGCATAAGCCTGTGATTCTCAAATCTTATCATGCATAAGCGTCACTGGGGTGACTTATTAAAAAGTTTGCTAGGCCCTACCCCCAGAGTACTGATTAGAATGGGATCTGAGAACTTGTGTTTATAGCAACTCCCTAGATGATGCTGGTATTGATGATCTGGGGAACATACTTAGGGAACCACTGCTGTGGGGAAAAGTTATTGTCTTCAGAGTCAGAGACACCAGTGATCAAATTACAGATCTTGCACTAAATGGTCTTAGGAAAATCACTTGATTCCATCATGTGAAAAATAGTGATAATATTACCAACCACATATCATAAGAGTTACGTAAAAGAATGATTGTATAATATCTGGCCCTTATAGGTAATGATAAACATTAATCATCTTTGTAGTTGTCTTCTAATTGTTCTGACCACCCCTGTGTAATGGGTGGTGTAAATTTTAAGTGGGGAAACTAGGAACAGTATAGAACAGTAAAGAACATGTATAGAATGCCTTCAACATTAGACTTATTCTGTAAGTTTTGAGGATAAGGATGTAACCTTTGACATAAAATATAAAACAAAATATTACCATAGAGAGTCTCAATTAAGAGTGGGGAGACATTTGCCCTTTTCCCTCTGCTTAAGAATACTGCCTGTCTTGGCCTCCAGGTAAATATTATTTTCTCTTCCCTCCCTTTAATCAGCTGCTATTTATGGCACATGTATCTCCATTAGCCATAGGTCATTTTATCTCAGTG